TGTGTGTGTGTGTGTGTGTGTGTGTGTGTGTGTGTGTGTGTGTGTTGATAAGTTGATAAGGTCTGTTGACTGACCGTTGTACTGTATTTGTTCAAATAATTGTGATGGGCAGGTTACAATACAAAAATGTTTGTCATAATCATGTCTTGTGATTATTTGACAGGAGTTTTACTTTTAAAATTTAAGTGTATTTAATTTAGTTATAATGTAAATACAATAAAAATTACACCAAGATTTAGAATAATTATCATTTTGATCTGTTCATTGGTAATGTCTGATTGGGCCTCGTGCCACTTTATGTTCAATAAATTGGGCCCCGAGGTCAAAAAGGTTAAGAACCCCTGGCTTAGACTTTAGTAATGTAGTCCAGGTAAAGTGGTAGTTCAAACCTTTCTGTAGAAAAGTCATGAATAACAATCATCTTACCTGTTGTAAACAGCTTTTTGGATAAGAAGTAGAGTTTGGTTCAGACCAAATTGACAAGCTAACAGCTAGTCAAAACAGGGTCAAGACTTAAAGTGGATTGCTGCTGTCTCAAAACATTTTTAACTATTTATGAGCTTTTTTTTCTTTAAATCAATTTTTGAACTACCTGTAGTTGAACATGGCAAAGTTAAGTCAGGAATATTATTACTATATTCCTACTGGAAGTCCCCCAGGCTGTTGTTGACATGCTRCAGCTAGTTGCTGCTGCTGCTTCCAGAAAACTGTATGTTGATAACTATGCAATTTGAAATTGACAGCAATGTAAAAATGAATAAAATAGTGTTTGTAAAAACTGGCATTATTTTTTTGGAGTTATTTCAAAGTGGCAGCAATCCACTTTGGTTTTAGTCCCACTTGGGATCAGAACTGAATTCTGTTTTTCCAAACAGCGACCATTAAAAGAGCTATTTATAACAGAGGTCTTCTAACCTGTTTCTCGTGACCCACTGTCCTGCCTTTTTTTATGTTTCCCTGTTTTGGCACACTTGACTGAAATAAATGAGTCATTGGCAGGCTTCTACTAAACTTGTTGAGTTTCTGAGTAAGTAATTTAATGATTTGAATCAGGTGTGTCGAAGCAGTGAAACATCTAAGACATGCAGGACAGTGGGTCACGAGGACCGGGGTTGAAGGCCTCTAATCTAGAAGATCTTGTTTTTCATAACTCTTCCTCAGAACCACACTTCGACTGATCTGAACTAGCACTTTAAAGCTTAAGTTAGTATTTTATTATTCTCTTTGGTTCTCACCACAAACACCATTTTAGGAAGAATTTGTGCCAGAAGGAAAAAAAAATGGTGACAAGGACATGGAAATATTTACATTATGAAACTATAGTCATCAACTCACCCTACACTGAAACTCTGATCCAGCTTGCCCCAAGCAACCTGCAGTCTTGACCAGTACCCCACCTTCCTCCTCCACCATGGTAAAACAGTACCCATCCGTCCTTCAAAAGCACATTTAGACACAATAAAGTGCAGCAATCAAAAAAACTGTTACACAGAAGTGAGTACACTTCATGGATTTGCCGCTTCACCTGCATGAGTTATTGGTCGAGTCTTCTGGGCAGTGGTGATCACAGTAACACCACAGGAATCTTTGGGAAGATGAAGCAGGAGCTGCACTGCCAGAAGTCTTGTTCCCACTCTCCACTGCCTCTTTARTGGATGTTTTTAGCAACATGCTGTCCAATATGTTGCCTGTGAACAAAACAAGAGGAAACAACACAATAAAATGATACATCTCTCAGATCCTTTGTGAGGCTTTGCTGGATTTTATTTTTTTTTTAATAATTTTTATTATGGTTCATTTGTTGAAGTTTTTTTTTACTTCTACTTGGTTCACTTTTTTCACTCTTTAAACCAGACACTGAACAATATGCTGCCATGACCAAGTACAAAGACTGATTAGAAAACAAAACCAACTAAAATACTTTAAAGTGGCAATATTATGTTTCTCGGGCATATATTTAAATTCTATACCATAATAAAGTAACTACTGTATGTCACCTTAAATTGTTATTAAAATATTTATATGTTTAAATAGGAAATAAACTTGACTTCTCATCATATCTGTTTCTAAACGCCTGGAAATTGGCCTCTGTCTCTTTAAGAACCTCCTTCCGCTTCTGTCCCACCCATTTCAGCTCGGGGCTGGGTGGGTGTGTGTGCCCTGTGATGAGGAAGCTTGGTTCAGAGACACACCTCAGAGGAGGAGCTGATCACAAAAGGCAGTTCTAGGCCCAACCGGTCGTTTTTGCTCCCCTGCCTGGCTGCCTCAGGACAGCACAGGATTTCTCAAACATGCATGAATGAGTCAAAGCAAGACTTTGGGCATGTTTTTGATGAGAGGATAACATTATAACATTATATAAAACTCAAAAAAGTTGATTTTACATGATATTGCCCCTTTGATAAATTTGATGAAAAAAATACACAATTACTGTATCTGGTTCCTTGAAAGNGGGCAATATTATGTGTTTCTCAGGCATATATTTAAATTCTATATCATAATAAAGTAACTATGTCACCTTCAATTGTTATTAAAATGTTGTTTATATGTTTAAATAGAAAATAAACTTGACTTCTCATCATATCTGTTTCTAAAAGCCTTGAAATTGGCCTCTGTCTCTTTAAGAGCCTCCTTCCGCTTCTGTCCCACCCATTTCAGCTCGGGGCTGGGTGGGTGTGTGCCCTGTGATGAGGAAGCTTGGTTCAGAGACACACCTCAGAGGAGGAGCTGACCACAAAAGGCGGTTCTTGGCCCAACCGGCCGTTTTTGCTCCCCTGCCTGGCAGCCGCAGGACAGCACAGGATTTCTCAAACATGTATGAATGAGTCAAAGCAAGACTTTGGGCATGTTTTTGATGAGAGGATAACATTATAACATGATATAAAACTCAAAAAAGTTGATTTTACATGATATTGCCCCTTTGATAAATTTGATGAAAAAAATACACAATTACTGTATCTGGTTCCTTGAAAGCAAAGTCTAATGAAATGCAGGGTTGGTTTACAACTTTTGCCTAGTACTATGCTACTGGGGGATGGTCAATGTAGATGTTACCAGCAATACTTATATAAATATATGAATGTATACACTGACAATAATATTATTTTTACCCAAACAGACAACTTTGAGGTTACTGTTATAAACTGTTAGTCCTTCAGCTTTACTCAGATTAGAATCTCTGGTCGGATGAACAGCAAACATTTGCTCCTGCAAATGTCCACATAGCTTTTTACAAGCTTGTTTACTCTGAGTCTYTGATGGGTTTTGCTCATGTTTAATGGTGCCTAATAAATAATGGGGAAATGATGGTCTGTCGCCTCTGCTCTCACATCACTTTTGCATTTTGATTCCTAAATTAACGGTTTTATTGTATGTGCATTAGTATAGCTTCATGCACTAAGTTGTGTACATCTGTTCAGCTGCTTATTTCCTGAGCAGCAACATCTGTYGGTATGAAAGTTCATCCGAGAGCAGTTTATTATCTGCTCTGTGAACATAAATGTGATGAGGTCTAAGGAATYACAGGAAATAATAACTCAACATAGTCTGTAATACATTGTAAAATGATTCTACAGTACATTTTGCTGACTGAATGTAAATATGTAATACACAATACACACTTTAGACATGAACAATGTTAAAAAGGAAGCTCATGAACACATATAGAGCACAGTGAAATAAGAAAAAAATGAGCTCCTGCACCTGATGCCTCAATATGTGTTCTCTCATACAGTTTCGAAGCCCTGAAACAAAGCTGCAGTATTTCCCTGCTTATCTRATTTCAAAAGAGCACCTGTTCATCACTTGAGGGAGGGAAAGAAAGATCACGGAAGTGCCTTTCCTCCACGGCTTTCAAGATTTTCATTCATTCCAACATGATCACAGAGACCAGATGCGTAACAGCTGCAAAGCAGAGATACTCCAAAGCAAGCATGAAGGCTTCAGTWTCTGAAATAAATACTCCCACACAATATATTACAATATATTAGCTTAAAGTTCATATTTTATTTCATTTCCAAATGTTGCCCTCTCCATTGGGAAACTGTTTTAAAAATGTGTTTATTGTAGGCATGGGTCCCTTTAGTTGGTTAATTTGTCCAAATGCTCCAGCTTCATCCCTATCGTCTAGAAGTGGTTAATTAGCCAACACACAAGATCAGATTCTGTCATGATGAAAAAAATAAAGAACACAGCCAAGGTCTCATATCCAAATGTAAAACCTTTAATGTAGACATAAGATTGTCGCTCCTAAAAAAATAACCTACAACTCTACTGTTAATCTGTGGTGGATTAAACATTTTTGTAATAAAATATAAACTTTAAAATCTCTCATTACTCTCATTCTTCATCTGCTTTTATCTTTGGCAGAAGACAGAAAAAAAACAGATGGGCTTGTWTAAACTTGAAAGGAAGAGCCACACACAATAACTTCTTAAAACTCATATCATAAATGCACATCACAGAGTAAAGCTGAGAAGGTCATAAAAGCCATACTGACCATAAAAATGTCAGCTGATTTGTTTCACACATTTGTAAATTTATGCGTAAAGCTTCAAAACTGACAGAATTGTTCAAGATGAGCTTTAAAGGAAAATAAAATACTCTTGCGTATGAATGTGTTGTCTGTGACATATCTTAAATATTAACCTGAATTTTAGCACGATGTACAATGGAAAGGCTATTGAACCTTAGCCCTGATTGTAGCTGTTACCTTCTCAATATTAAACAAAATAACTTTCACTGACATTTGAAACATATTGCCATATTTTACAGCTCAAGGATTACTTCCAAAGCCCATTTTGTAATATTCCAGTAATTAGAATAAGTTCAGTTTTCTGAGAAAACAAGTATATATAATACACCCCTTTAACTTTTCTTCAATTATTGAAATTTGCCATCCAGCACTGTCCTTTCTAAACACAGATAATGTGGTGGCACAACTAAAAGAGAGGGATGGCGGGGTTTAAAGGGGTCACATTAACAATTGACCAATTTGAGCGAAAGGGAGCGAGGAAGGGTAGAAGGGGGCGAAGAATGGGGGATTAACAAACAAGAAGTGACAGAGCTGCAGGGAACTGGTGGGCAGTTTAGCAGCACACAGAGGGGACAGAGCAGAGGCCACTGGCCTTTTCCACCATTTCTCTCACTCTGCCCTCCTCCCTCTGATCTCTCCATCCATCTCCCTAATGCTAAGTCACATTGTGTTTCATTTGTTGCCAACCTCCTCCTCAGCCTTTTTTTCTTTCTTTATTCCAAAACTCTGCCAAACCATTTGCTTTATTTGCCTGTTTTGTTCATTTAATATTTTCACATTTAATCCCTCCATTTACTTCCACATGTTCTCTACTCATTGTTACTCTGTTCTATCATACAACCTTCACATCTATCCCAACCGTTCACTGCTACCTTTGCCCATTCCTCCCAGTATGAGTCCACCACATTGCCATGTGAGGTGCTGCTGTGCTGTTGACAAAACACAAAGCCTTTCACATCCAGCCTGCACCTGGGATCCTTGGCTACAGATCACTGTGTGCACGTGTGTAACAGGGATTGTAAGGCTGACTGGGCAAGACCCAAACAGGCAGAGAAGTAAAAAAGGGGAGAAGTTTGGAACAGTGTTATATCTAAATACTACTCACACAATATTTGGATTTTTAATGCCTTTTGAAGCATCATTACCTGTAAATATTAAAAGCTAAAGGCTGCTAAAAAATTGCTATATTATGTAAAAAATATTTCAAAAGTGTCTCAGTCTCATGCAGGGGTGCCCAAACTTTTTCCTCAAGAGGGCCAAAAGGAAAATCTATCCAAGTCCTGTGAGACAAATACAATAATATAAACACATGAAATTATATATAC